GATGGAGTCACTGTGACTAGCAAGAGAGCACTGGCCATGTGATAATCTGTTTCTGATGGACATAAAGATTAGAAAGACTGATGTCAAACCCCCCTCCTTTTTTTTCTACCAGCTACAACTTTGCTGCTTAGTATGGCACATCATGTCAAACGATTATGTTTAAAATGAACATAAAGTATATAACATAAGAGGGTAAAAAATCACACATTAAATAGACGTGTTGATTCTTAGCCATGATGTGATGAGCTGACATCTTTAAATAATATTTACTGCAAAGCTTTCTGTATACATTTTATTGTAAATACAGTGTTAATCCTTAGTCATCCCACCCCACAATATCACATTTTCTCAATGATTCAATGTTTTTAGAAATATATTTGACATCACTCATAGCAGAATATTATAGTAAGTGTAATGTTAAAACATGTTTCCTTAAAACAACAAGGCACAGTTTGGATATTAAGATGCATCCAGCATTGCCAGACATTCATATTATTCATCAATTTGTCATCATTTATTGATGAGCCGCCAGCGGAGAGACATGATCGTGGTCTGCAGCGTGATTTAGTGCTGTGCTACGTTAAAGCAAAGTTCTGGGCTCAACGGGTTTGTCTGAGATCTTTAGATGTGGCTCTGGATTCAATTACACGTAGCAACCAGATATTCCCGGGATAAGAGTAGAACACAGCCTTGTGCCAGGACAGATTCTCCGTCCCATCTATTGTCATGTCTGTCTTGAAAAGCCACAATGTTTCAAGGCAGCAGCAGCTCTCAGATGATTGACCTTAAGGCGACAGAAAAGTTAATGTCCAACATTAGATATAAAAATGTAGACCCGTAAATGTACAGCTGGATTGACTCTAGTATGATGTATTTGAAAATTAGGATGAAAAATCAGCCCATGGGTCTGAAATTTCATAAGAAGTAGTCTGCCGTATTTTCCTGAGCGAAGCTGTCACATTTCACTGCTGGTCTCTTATTTCATCATTTATGGCGCAGTCAAAAGGATCCTGATGGCCAGCCTAGATAAATGTTGTGGCTTGCTGGAAGTATGTCCTAATGTGTACCAGGGTGTCCAACTCACAGTTTTCTTACCCTCTTGCTGTCTCTCCCTTACTCTCTCACCTTTTGCCCACAAACACACATTATCTTTCAAACACACACACACACACACACACACACACACACACACACACACACACACACACACCACACACACACACACACACACACACACACACACACACACACACACACACACACACACACACACACACACACACACACACACACACACACACACACACACACACACGCACACACACGCACACACACAGAGTCAGTCATCTGTCTTCATTCGGAGTCACCCTGCACAAAGAAGCACTTGTCCTGCGATCTGCAGTACTCATTTGTCAGTTGTGCAATAGTGGACAATCCAACACCTAATAACCTGGTGGCACAGCGATGACCTTGAAGAGGACTGTTGATTTAAGTAATGATGACATCTGGAATACTTCTATATACAAGTTGCATTGTGGGTGAAATATGTATTTTCTGATGTTACAGGAAATCCCGAATCGGTCCTAATCCTTATTTAATCCTGTATTTACTCATGCTCTGCTCTCTCCTTATATCAAAACGTGCCTTCTTTTACAGCCAAAACCAAACTGGAAGCTCAAGAGAAGCAACTGGCTGACACTGAAAAGATGTAAGACCTTCTTCATTTCATTAAACACTTTCAACAGCTTCTTCACCTAAAAAGTAAACACAGTCACTTCTGTTTCATTTCATTGGTTCCCTTTTGATCTATTCTTAACCTTCAAAACAGTGATCCCAGTTGTGAATAACAAAGAAAAAGCAACACAGGATAATGCAATCCAATCCAGTTTAAAGTGTTATTTCCTCACTGAATTAAAGAAATATAATCGTGCTACTTTGTCAATATTTAGGACTCCTGGTTCCTTCAGTTACATGGAAGGTGCGGGCCATGATGCCAGGCCTTCAGCAGACGGGAGGCCCCCTGTGCGGTGTCTGTGTTGTTTATCTAAGCGGAGCGAGAGTAGACAGCCTTGGCTCCAGGCTTCTGTTACTGCTGGCTAGGAATGTGTTCCTATAGCACACTCCAAACAAAGAGACCCCAACCTGTCCACTATATTGATCCACTACAAATGGCCACCGCGTTTAACACTTTAACAAGTGGCATCCCCTGCTATACGCAAGCTCTCATTTTGCTAGATCTGTCTTTGTCTTTTTGTTGGTAGTAGTTGCAGTATGTGTGAGTATATGTACAGAAACGTACAAACAGGCTTATTCACACCTGGGAGAGGAGTTCAAAAGCTAAACGCTGTATGTGAAATGCATAGAAGCTCAGTCCTAGTTAATCTGCCAGATAAAAAACTGAATTACTACACAGCTTTATTGGTAGTAATCCCATTTGTGTGCACTGTTCTATTCTGAAATGCACAGTCATCATTGGTTTGTGTTTTTTATGTTATCCTCTGCTATTACATTTCAGAAAAAATATCCCAATATTTACTTTCATATTTTGCATATTTTCTCGTCAAACAATCGGTGTAGGTTTCTGTAATCTCATGTTGTAATAGGTTGGTTTCTAAGTAATGTTTTCGTTCTCTGTCCCCAGCTTCTTGGAGTTGACCATGTCCTTTTCGGTTAAACCCAAGGCAGGGGAAAAAGAGGTTTCACCCAACACTTTCTTCTCCATTTGGCACGAGTTTTCCTCTGATTTTAAAGACCAATGGAAGAAGCAGAATAAGCTGATGTTACAGGAACGGTAAGAATATGGTGACAAGTTTTCAGTTTCGGACTGTGACATTATATTAGTTGAAGAATTTGTCTGGATACTGGATAATGCTGCTAATGCTGAGTCTTTTCAGTCATTTTGTATTGTTTCTTTGGAAAGGGAACACCACTTTCTGACCTACAAAATGTCATTACAGATATACCAATGTTCCAACATTTAGATTTATCCCCAAGCCAATGTTTCTCAAACATTATGCAGTACATCTCGTGTTCACTGAAGATCCTATCAGACTCATTCAAATTCATGAAGGGAAAAGCGGTTAAATGACCCAAATCTGTGTCCTCACCCCAGTAATGAAAAGAACACATGCAGCATCCAGTTAGCTTCCAGTGGTTTGATGAACATAAAGATACTGCCGCATATGTCAACAAAAAGTAAATTGGTCCATTATGCCAAATTGAGATTGAATTGTGATATGTATTTGTAAGAGAAGCAAAATGTCACAAGCCTTGCTTGTTCAGTAGGAAAGACTGAAACAAATTTGAAAGCATTTACTCTTTGCCCTTTGCGATTGGCAATCATCCCAATTCACTCTCTGCTGGTTTCCTTTTAGACTCCAATGGAACTATAGATAATAATCCTCACCTGTAGGGACATGCACACATGCAGCACAGGCCCACAGTACCAATGTAATGAGCAAAGGAAAGATGCTTGTCTGTTTCAATAAATTATTCTAATCGCTCAATGCCAACATGCAGATCATTTGTCTCGAAGCACAGACGTGTAGTAACACTGCTCTCTCCATGCAGCAGTAAACGACAGTCAGTCATTCAAAGTGACATCCAGGTCCCTGCGTCCAAACACCACAGGACCATAGTCTGGTTGACCCAGCTGTATATTTGTGTACTGCATCTTTGTTTTTAATGGTGAAATACCGAATTTCAAATAGTGGAATGAGTCTGTGTGCATTCTGTGATTTGCTGTGATAACTGATCGTTATTACTGGTGTTTTTTCAGGGTAAAAAAGGCTGAAGAGAGTTTCAAACAGGCCAAGGAGAAAGCTTCCTACAATGTGAAACCCAAACACGCAACTGGAATAGTACGTCTATACACTTCACATCACAGTTACTGTAATGTCTCATCTATGCCTTTTATTTGTTGATTTAGCTTCAGCAGTACAGACGCTCTTCTCTTTTCTGTGCAAATTGTCTCCTCCTTTTTCAAGGTGTTAAAAAAAAAACAACTCATAAGTACAAGGACTTCTGGCTGCAAATAACTCTGGCCTGTTTTTTATTCCACAGAAAGCAAAGTTGGGTCAGAAGATCTGAAGCTGAGAATGGAAAATTATCATCACAGCCAATTGCACAAGCACTGTTTGTACAATATGACATCACTCGTCAGTCATTTTTGCAACGTGTATTTGCTTCCGGTATTTGTTTTCAATTGATTAAGACCTGATGTTTACTGTCAGTTGGTTGAAAGTGGATATTATATTGTTTAGAAGTTGAATGAAAAACGAAATTCTCAGCCCCCCTTTCATAACACCTGCATAATTAAATGAAATATTGTTTCCAAAAGACATTTATAAACTGAGATGATTAATGTAGTTGAGTCATTTGCCAGAAAATGCTCAGAGGAGGCGGAAATTTGTAGCAACACAATATCCAAGCTTTCTCAGTGTTTTATAAGCCATATGTAGCCTATTTTGTGTGTAATTCCCCTGCCTTGTTAACTAGAAAGGCATGAAAACGTCCTTTTTATATCTTCCTTATTGGTCAAAATCAAATAATTTTATAACATTTCTACATGGTGGGTATGGATCATCTGCCAGACAGTGCCTTATCGCACATTGTAGGAGTCAAATCAGTGCTGTAGAACAGAGCTTTTTCTTTTTAGACATATCATCTGTTGTGAAATGTTACATATGTTCTACATCTGAAACATGACACATTTACTAAGTTAGTTTCAGAATCTAGGTATAATTACAAAAATGTTTGACATACAACTGCTTAATTTGTCTTTTCAACCAATAAGGTCATGAACAAGTAAGTGGTGTAATCGTATAAAGACTATTGTTTTTTTTCTCCAGTACTGTATCATCAACTTGCTTTGTTATAAGCAAAAACCCTATGCAGTTAGTTTTGCCTTTCCTCCTACTTGTGAGTGTGTGAACTCCCATATGCAACATGTGACGTGACTTGTGTTATACCAACTATGTGTTTCATTGAATACCCTTGACCACAGAAAAATTATATTTATTGCATAAAAGAAATTACATAATTTGTAATGAAAAATTCTGCTGTTGCTGATTGTTCTCAGTTTTTTCAAATGTGAAAGGGTTACAGAACAACATGCACTCTAAACACCAATGTTTTATATGAAATAGATTTAATATACTTTTCACAGACATACATACACACATACATAAAATATATACTGTATACGGGCCATTCTACCGAAATGGACAAAAGTCAGGTTGGAAATGTTTTGAAATGTTCTTTGTTTTTTCCCAAAACGTTGTCCATATATATTTTGTACCATATCTAAATTACACATATCTACTAAAAGAACCGTACATTTTATATCGTATTTTCAGACTGTATTGGAATGTTGTTCTTCTACCAAAAATGGTCACTACCGAAACATAGTAAATACACTGTAGTAAAAAAGTGTTGTATTAACCTGTTAAGATTGTTTTACCTTCCCTTCTCTAAATAGTATTTTAACAAATATTTCTTGAGGGTTTTTAAAATTAAATTAATAAAAGCGCATTTTTAATCAAATTTCAAAGTTCAATTTATACAATTCATAAAAATCATAATGCAAACGTTCTTTGTAAAATACATAATACTGATCATATTGATTCCAGAGTTGATGATTGTTGAAATTGAACATACATTAAACCAATCAGTATCATATCATTTTAGTTGATAACTCAATATACTTTATTGTTTACAAAACATCCAGTGCTTCGGTAGTGACCACAGTATTTTGTTCTCAAGGTTGTATCATTTTCCCTCAACCTCATTGCTTAATCTTAACTCATAAGTAATATGCCTTATGTTGAAGTGTGAATGTTTGAAGCTACTGACCCAGAATCAGCACTTTAGTAACAGGCTGAAATAGAGGGGTTTGAGGCTAGAATGCATGATCTGTTTGGTATTTTGAGCAAAACACTTCATAGACATGTTTTTTTATACATCTGAGACCTATAATATATGCCTAACAATAGTATAATAAGAGACCTTTAAAGTAACACACTGATTTCCAGACTTTAAAACACATTTATTTCAAAATGATGGGATTTACCTGCTTACCATTCCATTTTGTCACTACCGAAACGATCATGTCAATTACGGAAACGTAACCATATGTTTCGGTAAATGACTGTTTTGGTAGTGACTGTTTCGGTAGTGACGATTCTAGCTCAAATTGAGCATAACTAAAGAATGCTAGCAAGTACATGGCTAGCATACACGTTTGTGAAGAGGTTTACACACATAAAAACCTAATACTTTGCATAAAACCCCGAAAAAGTTTACTTAATTGAAGATAATATGTGTTTGATAGTGACAATGCTTAAGGTTACACGCCGATTTTCAGATTTTGGAACAGATTGATATCAAAAGTATGGGATACAGTATAGCTACTTGCCATTCAGCCATGAGGGACAGGGATGCAGTGTGTAGATGTGATAGTGATAGTGATGCAGATGTGTGTGTAGACAGCCATCACTGCCTTGTCAAAAATGCAGGGGTGTGGCTAAAAACCAGGCTCAGCCATTGGACTAAAACCCCTTGTGTTTCGGTAGTGACATGAAAACTGGGGACATGATTTTTTGAGTATAGTTTTTTTATTAAAAAATGATACCCACAATACATCTAAATATTCCAACTGCTGTTTGAATGTAATCATAAAGCTTTTCTAAATACACCATTGAACAAAATAAAATAAAATGTTTTAAGTGTTATTTACAGAAATTGAAATTTAGATGTCAGGGGACAGCTACTTCCCAATAGAAAGTACCCTATAAATGTTGTTTCTGTATATATTAAACGTATCACTATATAATTGAATGCCTTATGTTTAAATAGACCATAACATATTCTTAGTAAATATCTATGTCTGAATACGTAATTATTTTGTTAAATAGTTTTTCTTGTCGTGGGACCGCACTTTGTACTAATTCGGTAGAATGCCCCGTATATTGCATTGCACCTCCATTACACATGCTGCTGTATGTTTTTCCTACTGGCTAGTATATCTGTGGCAAATATACAGCCAGGCTTGTTTCGAAGCAGGTGGATGCCACTGGTCATTGTTGTGTTGCTTGCTTCATGTTTTCTTGATATCAACTGGTGTATGATTTCGGACATAGAATCTAAGATGCTGGACAACGGATACAATAGTTGTAAAACACAATCAACAGGTTAAAACATTGCAGGGAAAATGTGTACACTATAACTTGTTTCTCCAAGACACTAAATTACCAGCAGAATCCATAGTGTTTTATAGTTTATCATCACCTTTATCACAAAGGAATCTAATGAAAAATGAACAAATAGCCAGGTAAATGGAAATCAAAGGAAGGAAATGTTGTTTTAATGTTGACATTTTGCTGCTTCATCATCAGTGTCTCTTGCACTACTTTAATCAGTCTCTTTCAACAGCATCAGCTTGCCAACATGACTGCTTGTCTCTGATGTAATCATCATTGATCCTTTGTTTAATAATACCAGTTCCATGTCATTTTATTGCGGGACAAGCCATCAGTTGTGCAACACCTTGCAGTATAGTTCAACTTGAAGCCAGTCCTTGTTTGGCGAAGCTTATGAATTTCCTGCCTTTGACTGAACTCCTATTATTTTAATCTTAAATCCTTTACAGTTTCCCATGGCTGCTCACATCCACAGACATGCAGCGGCACTGTTTGACCCTCTGCACCTTGCGGTGTCTGAAAGGCGGCTGCTGGTCTGGGCAGTCTAGCTGCACTGTGAGCTGTGTGATGCGGTGTGGCCTGCAGAAGGAACAGGACTGAAACGGCTCCTGGACCTTGTTGTGTTTTTTCCTTCCAGAGCCTGAGGCCTGTCCTCGATTCTGGCCCTGACTCGAGCTGGGGCCCATATGCCGGGGGATGTAGAAGGAGTTACACTGGCCGTAGCAGAAGCGGTTGACCACGGTGCGGCTGCGGCAGCCCTCCTCGCTGATGGTCTGGCGGAGAGGCTGGGTCTTGCACCAGTCTCTGCGGAGGTAACGACGCTCCGTTACCACCAAGGCCTCCCGGCTGGAGGACAGCACCTCAGGTTTCTGCTGCAGTAGCCGCTGGTGACGCTCTGAGGACAGGTTCCCTTTGGTCTTGTGGGGGGATGGGATGGATCCCTGGGGCCGGGGCTTTTTGGTTTCTGCCGTGATGCAGAGCAGCCCAGCCAGTATGACTGGTATAGATATTCTCCACAGCATTCTGCAAAAGGAGAGAGGCACATTAAATGGTGATTCTCAAGAAAAACATCTGTTGTCACATTAACAGATTCCTTGAATTTTGACAACGTAGGATGTGTACCAATACTTCGGAATTATGTGAAGATGCATGACTGTCATAAAATTCCAAAGATAATATCAATAAAGCAAATAATGTTTGCAGTTTTGTGAATAATATGCATTTGTTTTAACCACCTTTGCTGTCAAGCCTTCCAGGCATCATTGAGGAAATGAATCCATCACCAGGGCCCCCATTTGTCAACATCTCTGTGTCATTACTTTTATTTGCTTTCCTCTCAGCTACGCAACTCTTCCAAAAATAAACAAGGCCCTGCCATCAAAGGATACACTTAAACACCCATAACGAGAAGGGGAAGTTGATTTTATTGGTCCCGTTGCTGGGTAAAATAATTAGGGCTTTGCTTACTTTAGTCATGAACTATGCCGCAGATATGTAAACAGGCATTGGAGAGGACCATCTGCATGTTATTAGGAGAAGAGTTGGGGAACTCTCCAGTACCTTTTGGGAGTCAACTCTTCTACTCATTGGAGATATACTTTGAATCAAACAGAACTGAGATTGACCCAGTGTCCATAATCAGATCTCTGTAAAAAGAAAGATAGCATCATCTAGAGAAATTACTCCTCTGCCATTCACAATGGAGTTTCCGGCCCGTGTGCATGTGTTTGCACCAGCACATTTTTGACCGTCACTCAAGCATCTTTTCAGCAGATGTTGCTCTTGACAAGCATTGCATGACATCAAGTCAGAAATCCTGACAGAGAACCAAACTGCCTCAAGGACATTGGCGGCTCATATTCACAGACTCTTCTTTACTGTGCACATTTGTATTTTCCCTTTCTTCCTTTTCCTGGACCTGCAACTCACTCCGACATGGAACAAATTACTTTATCATAATCCACTCCTCCTCCTTTTCTCTACCCTTGACCCTGAGGTCATGGCAGCTCTGTCCGGACTGCATAAGCATCCCGGTAAGTTAGACAGCAGCTGTGTGTCTATCAAGAAATGCAGTGTAAATTATAACCAGATATTCTCTATAGGAAATGATATGTTGGACTTTTTTGACTTTTTGATGCTTTCTCTTTCAATTCTGATCTCTAGGTTTTCTTTCTGTTGTTTTCTTCATTCAAATATCAAACCAGCGCAGAAAGGAAGTATTTTGGATTATATAGACATTGCCAGAAAATCTGATGTGCTCTACAGTGACAATCAAGTCTGATGTTGATATGTGGATTTTTCCATCTGAGGACATCCAGAAGACAAATACTTTTAATTCACACAAATAAATTCAAATGACTCCTATGCTTCTTCTGTAGGCACACACCTTTTTACATACATACCACAGCCTGCACACACCCACCTAATAGGTTAGAATAACTAAACTAAAGACTCCCGCTATACTGCATCAAGGAGTCATGACCCCACTCCATCTCCCCCTGATCTACCTGCCATGTACACAGTCTCATTTGTCTTGAGCTGATCCATCTCTTTCCTGCTGACTTTGTATTTAAATGCACAAACGCCTGTTTAGGAGGAGCAGACTCTGCTTCTATGTGAAGCCCCTTGTTCTCTGTTTCCCTCTTCTCCTGCTGTCCATCGTTTAGAGAGGCACCCTGTGATTCTGCTGAGCTACAGTCTGCAAAGCCCCGGGGACTTTTGAGGGATGACCTGACCAACTGTGTACATAGAGCATGACGGATGGCCTGTACAGCCAGCAGCAGCGCTCCCTCTCCACTCCCAAACTCTGCTTAAGTATGATAGTGTCGGCCCTGCTAAGCTATCCTCATCAATCTCTGCTGCAAGACAAATTGCGGTTTTGGGGTAAGGCTTTTGGGGGGAGCCCCTGAGGTGGTTAGTGGTTGGGGTTAGGAGATAGAAGGGAAAGAGGGTTTGGGACAGATTACCTACTGGGAAACAAAACCAACCCCACTTGGGCTCCATGCACAGTATGCCCTCCTCCCAGGCTGTTTATCTTTCGACAAGCAGTTTGTCTCTTCGTTTCTATCTCTCCCCATCTGTCTCTCTGTCACTTTATCTGTCTCTCCTGATGCTCAGCACTAGTCATCACAGAGTCCCGGGGACGGAAGGAGACTGTGGTTTTGTGTTTTAATGCTGAGACAGAACTGAACCGGACCCTTCGGTCTGCTGAACACTAATATTGTCCACAAATACAGCTTTATGTTTTACAAGAACCACAAATACGTGGGGGATGTGCTTCACTGAACTGTGGCAGACTTTTGTTCCAAATTTCAGACCTCTAATGACATTACAAATACCAGATACAAATACCAGAGTGACTGCTGAGCTAGACACAAGCCTTTTTATCTATAATCATCAGTGGGAACTTGTTGTATTTTGTTTTTCAGGATATAATATCATGGTAATGTTTTCTGTCTGGACAACAATGGGTCTTCGAAGAAAAATGTCAAAGTGAAATGAAAAACAAATTGAATCGTGAAAAACTCCAGCCTTGTTGCTAAATATTTATTAATTTGAGATGTTTTTGTTGTTAGATAATTGAAAAAAGGAACACAAATCCATTTCAAGACTTTGAAACTTGTGCCTACGGATGTATTTCCACTAAACCATGTGAAACATCTTCCCAGCATGTCTTCAAAGGCAGGTTAAAACAAACAAAACCTGATGCCTCAATTATTGGTGCGTCAGAAAGTCTCATACACAGACTGGTAAGTGCAGTTAATTACAGTAGAACTGCATTTAATTCACCGTGCAACTCCAACCTCAATCACACAAGGGGAGGTGCACAAGCACACGCACGCACACATTTGTGACCACACATGTTCACACACACACGCACACACACTCACACACACACGCACACACACACACACAGGATATACAGAGGGAAAGAGAGATAAATGAAATGTTTTCACTCGGAGCCAATTACACGAAGAGGAACCATGTCATTATCTGCATTTGCGGATTCTATTTTCCCAAACTACGCTCGGCTGTTGGCTCATTAACAGTTGCGGGGGTGGCGGGGTCCTTTAGGGGGCTTTTCTGTGTAAATGTGTCTAATGCCAACATTGCCAAGAGGCTGCTTTAGGCAGTTTGGGCAGCCATTTGTCACCACAATCCATCTTGATAATGACTAGCAGCCCATATATAATGCTTTCCAAGTTAAGTACTGGCAAGAATGTAAGGCTTCTTTGCCTCAGCAACATTAAGTGCTTTAGTGGTGGATGAGAGGCAATTAGAGATGCTATGATAGTGCAGGGTTTCTCATTTCACATTTGTGTGACACTACTTAGCTGCAGTGATTAACACCACCTTACATTTTGACTCAAAGTTAAATGTGTCTGTTTAATCACATAACATGAAGTTTTCCCCTTGAAGGTTTATATGCCTTATTTCACACTATCTGACAGAATCACAAAATACTTTTTGTTTGTATTTTTCTTTCCATTTAATGGGAATATCCTTCTTCAGTGGTTTGAACAATGTTTGATTGCACATCATGAGCTTTCAATGATTGGGGCTCAAGCAGGCCACTGCCTGTTACGGGGTTTACAACTACTTCTTTAAAGCCATATTTTGCAATGTGAATGTTCTGCTGGTTAAAAGAAACAAAAGCTTTAATTTTAACCACACACAACCACACATTCTGGCCAAAATGCAGCTTAACTCTACTTTTAATCCGCTTTCCTCAGTGTTTTCTTATTACCTTCATGTGTTAAGCATAAACTGCACGTGTTAAGAACGCTGTTAAGGCTTCTATCAAATAACAGTTTTACTATCTTTAGAGGCTTACAATGAAGTGTTTTCTGTTGCTTAAGAACCTGTAATGTGTCTGTGTGCTAAATCCTCTTTGACATCAGAGCGAACTGTGCAAGGTGGTGCAGTCACCGGAGCTGTAAGCAGGATCAGAAGGCAAACTCCCCACCTTTCAACACATGCACACTGCAGCAACACACACACTCACACGTTCACACCAATGTTGATACACAGCAGTTCACACATGAATACACACAAATGCATTAAATATACATACAGAAATGAACACAAACACAACGATATACAGGTGTACATTAGAACTGAAAAAAAGAATAAAGATTATTGTGTATACACAGACAACAGGTCCCCGATATATGTTAATATCATTGTCTCTCTTTTTCGAATTCAGTGGAAAAACTACACTGACTCTTAATCTCAGTAAAATGCACAGTACAACACACTGTTATCACACACTAATTCTCTCACTCACAACACTAATTCCCCTGGATAATTATAGTAATTTAGTCTACATCTTTATCCAGAACACCTTATAGTACCTTGAAGGCGTATATTTTTACTATGGGTGGCCCCTGTGGGGATCAATCCCTCACTGCTGGCGGAAAGGCAAAATATCTGTACAACTACTGCTGGTCAGATTAAATGAATCTGCGCTTAGTCATTCAGAGACCCACTTAGTCACTCAGTCTCATTATCTCCGTCAGTCTCTTACTGCCCACTTGTTCAAAGCGCTCATGTGGGAAATGTCAAACCAGTACTTATCTACACTTATCTACACTTCTCACCTCAGTAACTCGAAAATGGTGCGTCGCACATATATAATCATTGTTTCCTCACATACACTGCAAATTAGGTCAATCTTCAAGGGATTCATTATTCTAGAAATCCTGCTATTTACAATGATATGTTTGGCCTTAAAGTGGGGCAACAAGTGTACCATCTTGCATTAAGAACTTTCTTTTATGATATGCTATTCAATTGTAATACATGCATAGTATTAATTATTTCAATAGACATTTTAAAGAACCTTCTTGCAAACTGTTTGAAGGGTTTTAAACCAAGTGTTAAAGTGTTATCACAATACAAAACGAGGCATGGTTTATGTACCTCTCACCACAGGGCGCAGGAGGACGGTAACGTGTCGAGGATGCAGTCAGGGGATGTCGATGCCTTCAGTGGTCCTTGCGTCTGCTTCCAGGTTTCGGTTTCCATGGCAACATAATCTGTAGTATCCTCAGGCTTGTCCTCGCTCCTCTTTTTTTTTCTCCCACCACGCTAAAGTCTCAAAGTATTGGCCAGGATTAGCTTTCCATCACTTTGGCCAAGATGTGTCTCTTTATATCTCTCTCAGTCTATGGTTCTCTTTAAAGTTTGTTTTTTAAGTTTAAGAAAGCTCCAGGTCTCAGTTACAGTAAACCCATATCTCCGTGCTGTGGAGACAGTCTGTCTTTGAGAGTGTTTGACTCACTGTGAAGCCTGCCTTAGTTTGAATCCCCACCACCCCCTTTCCTTCCTCAAGACTGGGAGGGTTTATCCTATTGGTCATTGTGTGAATCAAACCAAGCTTCACTTCTTTCATTTAAGTCTCCCTGCATCTGTCTCTCTCTCTGCCTGTTGACATTTTTCTTTGATATATATATATTTTGGCAATTCCCATGCATCCATTATATATCAAACCTATAAAAATGACAACTTTTCCATTGTTTGTTTTTCCATTTTATGATTGCTTTCCCTCTTCCCCTGTGTTTGACATTAACATTTTTAGGAGGTGGATGACATTTTGTCAGAATGGACAACACAGGACCAAGTTGTAAAGAAACAAAGACTTTCTTTAAAAACCCCATATTATCCTCTCTCATTGGCACAGTGGCCACATCACATTACAACCCTTAATCCAGAATCCATAAATCATTGTGTGCATGTACCCAGACACAATAACAGGGTGGTTTGAAAAATGCCACAATTCACATTCCTTGATGCAACGGAGACAATAATGTTTGTCTGTTTTGTGGCTCTGGCTGAGCTGACCACTGAAAACCCTGACTGTCACTTCTGCCATCAAAGAGCTGAAACATCAACAGACCCGAGAAAACCTCAGATGGGTACAGTCTGAACAATAACCCCTTCAGCACTTCAGAGGACGATGACACTTTTGCATGACAAAACTTCATTTGTCTGCAGAAAACTGTGGTGCATTTGTGTGTATTGTGTTGAGGAGCTGGTAGCTGAAAAGAGGCAGATTCCCGCTGTGGGAAATCATTTAACACCCTCTAGTGGCAGAAAGCAAAAGTGCATTATGAAAGCACTAACCCTGCAGTCTTTATTGCTTAAGTGGTTCATACTGTATAGGTAACAAAAATCCAAACACAGCCATTAATAACAGATAGAGGGCCAACTTTAATAATACAAGTAAGTAAAAGTGTCTTTAAATATGGTATAAAAATAAATGCAGGAGAGAATAACAAAGAATTATGTTCTACATAAAACAGGAGACAGCTTTTTTGTATTTTTGAATGTGACTTTACAAGTGCAATGAAAACCATATGTGCTAATTGTTGTAGTGCAATAAAATAATGCAAAGCAAAATAAATGCACAATAAATAATCATAATAATACAAATCATAATATATATATATGTATGTATGAATATATATATATATTGTATATTCATTCTGCACAACACTTCCCATAGCGTGACAAAGTATCTGTGACCTCAGATCATGTAAAGCAATGACATTGGTTAGATTGATCAGTTTAAGCTGTCATTTAATATATTTTTTCTATTTGTTTTTTTTCTTTTTTCTTCTCTCTGACATCATTTGTTTCAGCTGGAAGTGAGAGAGGGACTTCTGATCCAGCAATTATGATGGAAAGCTCTGGAACACAGGATTTGATTTTCTTCAATAGCATGTTTCATCTCGCCAGTCTGTCAGTGTACTCACGAGTCCAGCAGTGCCTCCTTTCTGAGAATACTGGAAATATATCAGGTACTGTAAGAGGAGAGAAAAGAAGGAACATCCTCTCCATGGACATGCAACATCCGGTGGACAACAGACGAACAGGCGGTCCAGGCTGAGCCGAGAGCGGATGGACAGACAATGATGACAAAGAGATGAGATGGTCCCCCTCTCCATGTCCCAGAGAGAGAGATGGCATTGATTTTAGCATGATGGCACACGACTGGTCAGCCTCTTGGACGCTAGTGCTTTCCCCTGGCAAAGAGAATGAGGTCAGTAAATGTGAAGGAGAGAATAAATAAATGCATTTTTAAAATAAGATTATGAGCAGCTACAAAATTATGCTGGATTTCTGTAAAAGGGTAGAGTAATTCTCAACATCACTGATGACACAATAACCAAATGACAGTTTGTATTTGGCATTACCTGAAGCAAGAGCCTTCAGAACAAGTTCTTACTTTTCTGTGGGGACAAAGAAGGACATGTTGAAGCAATTTAACTGTGCAGAGGATTCAAGTGTGCATACATAAATTAAGATATCTATTGCATAACAGTTTGCAAGCCAGATCAGTTCATTTGAAGTTCAGTCTACCTAAAACAAAACAAAACAGAAAATACTTTTCATCAAGCTGTTACAAAAATGTACTGCATTCACATGTATTTATAAACCCAAGCTGTAATAGCAACATATTCTCTGCCAGAATGACAGGCAGGGAAAGTGTAGGAGGCATTGAACAGGGCAGGTTTTAAAAATACACCTGGGTAATTCAGAATTATTCATCATGTTATGACTGCTGTTCATAATGTTTTTGTACGCCCAACAGGAGTCCTGATCAGCTACTCCATTACACACACCTGAAGCAGACTGTCAGGATGTTGTGTTCCATTTCTCTGCCACTCATTGGTATTGCAAGCATGCAGGTGCCATTTTGTTCTTTGGTTTGACCTACTTTGCCCCTTAAAGTAACTCTACCACATTCACTGCTGTATTCAGGGATTTGAAATCCATTTTAGACAAATTAAAATAATGTAGAATGTTATCCTTTAATCTGCATTAAGTGTTATTGTTGGTATTATCACAAATAGCTGAATATAATTTCAAAGACTTGCTTGGTGAGTCAAATCCACATCCATCCCTGCAGCTAAGTACAAACCAGCTTTTGTTTAGGAGTTAGTGGAGACAAAACCACAACTAAGAGGAACAGAAGCTCATGCTGTTCTAAAGCGGCTATGATTTTCTGCCCCTAAGTGGTCAAAATTGTATTTTTATCCTACCATAAGGTCACTGCAGGAGAGTGCTAAAGCAGCAGCTTGTTTTGAATATGAACGGATTGCTAGGAATGGGGTTAAAGTGTGATTTACCGGGTTTTGAAAAGGCTGTGGGTGCCAGGAGGGCAGGTTTCCGCATCAGTGAAGAGTGAGTGTATGTGTACAAATCAACAAATCGTACAAACATGCACAGTAGTTTTCTGTGTTTTCACTTTATTACCTTCTTCTTGGCCTGTAATAACTCCTGGTAGGCACTGGAGCGGATGAAACGGCTGTAAGAATCACTCTTCATCAACTTGTAGATGTGTTCCTGTTTAACAAACATAAAATGTGGAAAGAAGTGATACATTGTGGTGAATATTATAAAAATGCAGTATTCCAATGACCATCAAAACATAGTGATAGTAATTTGCCAGGGTGTTGCTGTTGTTACAGTTGCAAAAAACATTTTCAGATTACCGGTAACATTCCAAACTAAATACGTTCTCTAAACATATGTACAATGTAAAATAGGCCACTACATAATATAAGATGTGGATGTGATGATTGCATTTGTATCATTTGTACCTGTGCATCCTCAAAGGCATAGCGTCCAGGATCTTTGACATTCTGAGTGGTTTTGTCGTAGCTTTTGGAGTCAACGTTGATGGCACTGGGCGCCCCGGGGGCCAGAAACTCCTGCCAGATCTCCTGCACCCGGGTGGGGACCTCTCTGATGGGACGTTTCTTAAGTTCCTGCACCGCTAGCCAGAACCTACGGACCAAAGTTAACGGTTAGTGAAACAGATAATGGCAAACTATGTTAACTATAGCCTCACATTTTGAAGAAACTAATCTGTAATAATAATTAAATAATTCCTTTTAAGAGCATCCCTTTCAATTGAACACATATTAATACATTAAGGAATTTCTACTTCAAAGAGGAGAAAAAACTGAAACAGGTAGAGTTTCAGTTTGCCTTACAAAGGGAAGAATAAGCAAAGATGGATTTCATAGTGTAAAAGTGACAGAACCATGGAGAATATTTTATTTTGAACCGTCAAAGCTGATAGAGTTTGAGTGGTAATAAATAGTCGCATTATTCTTGTTAATAACACACCTGTTCAATTATAGGTGAGTTAAAACGATACTCAACTGACAGTGATATTAAATTACAATTCAATTAACTTGACCACATTATCAGCTTTGTTCAGAAACAATACAGGCGTGTGCCATCAGAGGGAGCATGGGAGCTTTCCTGCACAGAGGTTGCTCTATTCATATTAAGCTCTTCCAATGCATCTTCGATACTCTGCAGTATTCCTGTTACCATGAATAAACCAATTAACATAATATTCCTGCCCACCTGTGTTATTCTAGCCTTAGCTACCGTTGTGCATATTTTAAACAAGCTCCATCCACCATCATCCTCCCTGCTTTGATTAAATAATAACAATGTAGGTTATCACTCAAAGACACCAGGAATAACTGCGATAGTTGCTCATTTCCCACAGTTATATGAGCATTTGCAAAGACATTCATTAAAGTGAGATGTTATTGTTCATGTTTGTCATCATGAGAAAGCTACACAAAATGAATGTTTATTTTTCCAATCTAACCATATGAGCATGTTTAGTGGAAAGGCATTAACTCTATATGTTTATATGAATAGTTCATATTGTGTATGTTTCCATGAGTGTTTCATATGGAGTATGTGGGTGAGTTAAATCCTCAACAGCCTTTAATGTGTGCATTCATGTGTGTGCTTGCCTTGCATTAATCACGTTGTGGCACATTATGGAGACCTATGTGGTAACAAAAAGCCGGTCCCACAGAAGCTAACTATTCATTTTAGGCTTAAGACTTGGTTTGTGGTTTAGTCGTACAATCAGAAAAAGTTCAGGCAGATGAAAGAGTTCATGCATGTAGCAATGACAGTTAAAGGTGCAGTACGTAATTCTGATCAATAAACATCTACTTTCTTACTAGGCAGGCAATGGTAGAATGTAACTAAGTACATTTACTCAAGTACATGTTAGCCATTTATTTATTGTACTTTATATTTGAAACTTGTCTCTGAGACAAAAGTGCTCGCTTCTGACAACATTATTGGACAGCTGTAGTTGAGAATTGCTTTGCAAACGTCATGAATATTAAACATTATCTTGTAAAAAATGATGAATTATAAATAAACTTTGATCAGAAAAATACAATCATTTGAATTACTGATTAGTAAGCATGTCTGTAAAACAGTCCAAAGTTTAAATTAAAATGAGCTAACA